CGGAACACACATGATTCCCATATTGTCTTAACTCTCCCCACTAGATTGTTGGGAGTGGATGATCCTTGTTTAAGATAAAATCTGGTAATGTTAGTTTTAGTTAAAACAGAACCAGCGGCATAACTGTTGTCATGGCGATAGCACGACGGGTGTCCTTTTGTTTCTTTTATGATGTACATTTTTGGTGCCAAGTTTAAAGAACACTGCTGTAATATTTCTAGAGATATTCTAGATTGAGTGTTGTGATGTTTTAGTGGAACCACCTATGACGTCATCACTTATAATACAAAGACGTGAATATCTCTAAAACGATAAAAGATATTCCAAAAAGGAAAACATCATTCTTCTTAACTTTGAAAAGCCTTTCAAATCAGCAGCAATTATTTTTTACTTCATAGGTACTTTAACGAGGTTGCCGTAATGGTATTAGTGGGGTGGCCGTGTGGCGGGGTTCCACGTGTTAGTTACAATTTGCCCTCGCTTCAAAATTTTACTTAATACTGACTTGTTTTATATTAGCCACGGTATTTTTGCTGCTTTTTTGTTTGAGTGAAGGTCCTTTATCGTAATGTTATCACCCTTTTTATCAAAATTGCAGTGTAAAAACTCCCGTGATAGACAAGTGCCCCCTGAAGTTCAGGCAAATCTGAACATTTTTTTTTATTTTCCTCCTTTCGAAGGTGTCAAGAGATCCCCCGTTCACTTGTCGCTTGATCCCAAACGTCTGAAAACGTCCGCAGTCCCTTCGCATCAAGTACCGTTGCCTGACCGAGCTGACAATACGTTTAGTGATCGTAGCAGAAATAGATCGTCCCGCGCGGGAGCAGATTATACCGTGCCGCCCGGTTACACTACCCTCGCTAATCTACAAGCTGATACCACGGTGAATGTGTATGGCGTTGTCAAACTGTTTAAGCCGGCGTGGAAGTGTCGAGGCACTGATATGTGTTCTGTGCTGATGCTGATGGATCCGACCGTCGCTGAATCCAGCACTGGTCTTGAGTGTGTGTTATTCCAGCCTAGCGTCTCCCGCCTCCCGGCTGCACACAAGATCGGAGACATCGTCCGCCTCCACCGCATCAAGATATCGCAGTACCAGGGGCGGCTTCAAGCCAAGTCTACGCGAGGATTTGCAGCGATTGTGTTCGACAGGGAGACCGAGTTGCCGGTGACCGCAGAGATGGCTCGCGTGTCCAGCTCCACTTTTACCCTGACACAAAGCGATAAAGAAACCGTGGAAAGTTTGAAAAATTGGTGCGACGTTCAACCCGTTTTGTTTCCTCCGGGTAACTCAATTACCCTGTCCCAAATCAACCCGGACTCTTACTTCGACTTAACTTGCCAGGTTCTTGGCATCGCGTTGCACCGTACGCTGGATTGCGTGGTTCTTTACGTGACAGATGGCACCCAGCCTGTACACGACCTTCGCAAGTGCACAGGCGACGAGTACAACGTGGTCGAACCTCCATGCAATCGCTCAAGCCATGACGACGATGTAACCTCTGTGTTCTTGTACGGATCGCACTCTGAAGTGGCCCGCCTGTTGGTGAGGAAGGGTGGATATGTCATCCTCCACAATGTACATTCTCAGGTGCTGAAACCGGGCGGGTCTGCTAGCAGCGTACTGGATGTCGTCAAGCCTTATCTAGAGTTGTGCGTGCACAGGGGTACAGCTTTTGGGCGCGGTATCTCTGTTCTGTCCGCCGACTCACCGGAAGTGAACCAGCTGAAAAGGCAACAGAACTTATGATTTACTACGACCTATCCATGAACGTGGCTCAATTTCCGCTCTCACGTTGATTTTTGTGTTTAAATGTTGTTTTGATATAAACGAATGTACCTGAAAGGTGCCAGTCCGGAAAATGTTCCTGTTATTTCAGCTAAATAAAATGATGATGATGATGAGCTGGCAGAAATAAAATTGCGTGAATAATTTTTTTTTTCTTTAGCAGGTAGCAGGTTCTTATTCAGTTATCAGGATTCGTACGGGTCCTGGAAAACCTGGAAAGTCCTGGAATTTTGTTGTGGCATTTTCCAGGACTGGAAAGGTCTGGAAATCTGTTAAACTCGAGTAAAAAATTTGAAATGTATGGCAGACAGTAAGGAGAATTAGCATTGAGATCTTGGAAGTGAAAGGATTAATATGAATTTTAGAGTCCTGGAAAAATCAATCTGAGTCCTGGAAAAGTCCTGGAAATTTGTTTCTGAAAAAGGGTACGAACCCTGTCTTATTCTCTTTTCAAAGTTCGTGCACAATCCTGTTCAAGGAAGAGAGAGGTGGCCTTGAAAGGGCCGTGTGAGTAAGGTGTTGATATTCGTTATCATGTGGAATGGCTTTTCTATAAAAGCTGTATAAGCAACTAGAAATCTATGTTGAATATCCATGAACGAAGGGAATGTTAATTGGAGCAACTGCAAGAAAAAACAAAAACAAAAACAAAAACAAAACAAAACTAGCCTGCGAATACAGCCGCCTCTCATTCGCGTCTCATTGGCGGGAGCGAATGAGAGGCGGCTGTATTCGCTGGCTAAAGGAAAACAAACGAAACAATGAGACTAGCTCCTACTTCCCTCTAATTGTCGAAAATTCATGTTCTGGGAAATTCTGGGTTTTGTAATGGAGATGCTGCATGTGATCTTGGAAACGGGGAATTTTCGCTCCAGTCAACAAATCCCCGGACATTTGACTAGCTTGATCTGCTCTTTCATACTCCGCCCACTCCCCCCCCCACCCCCAACCCCCTCACCCTCAATTTGACTTCAGTCGTTGATATTAAGGCGGGAAATTTTACACCATATAGGAGAGGTAGGGGAAGGTATCAAAAGACAAAGCCTTTCTTTGTATTTGTTTGTTAACGAAAAAAGATTTGTGCTGTGTTCGAAGGTAAGTATAAATTTTCAGGGATGTATAAAAACAGTACTCGCAACACAGCAAATTTTGAAAGTGGATTTTAAGGAGAGAACTTTCCCTATTTTCCACTACTAATTTTTTTCCATGTGTATCCCGTTGGTGGGTCGATTAGTGCGACCCTAACATGGTGAAGAAAGCCTGCACGAAAGATCGCGCGTAGCCTCCTTCAAGGAGTTTGGCACTCTTCCCTACCCACTGGGGGATGGACTGTCTCGTGACCCCGCTATGGTTTCGGGTGTCACGCAGGGGTCAATACCATTGATGAATTTGCATACCGTATTTGCACAGCGATGCAGTTGTGTTTGTGTTTTTCTTCGGTCCATCCAAGGTTTAGATTCTGCGGCTGCTGTGCTTAATAGCTTTATAGTTCCTGATTCAACTCAGCGAAAGATCTTCTTTCAAATCGTACTTGAAAGTTGTTAATTGAAATTGCCATTCATCTTGGACAACTTCGGCAGCGTACTCACAACTGGGAGCGGTTTATAATTATTTGCTGTCCGACCTGGAGTGCAACAGCTGTGAAGGCGAGGAAAAGACTTAAATCGAGTTCACTGCGGATTATACCTTTGTTTGGTTTTTCAATATATTACATGAAGGCATTCGGGGAGATTTTCCGCTGTCTGGATTAATATTGGCCCGGTGTATTGAGTTGTAACCATGAGGGTCACTTTCTGTAGTCCACCACTCCTGTTACTGTTCGCGATCACTTTCGAAGTATCGCTGCTTGCCGGGGGATCTTTAGATAACGATATTGTGAAGAATTGGTCTGCACATGTGGAGGGCTACCTTCTGAAACTCGCCGAAGAAGGCTTGAAAACTCGCGAGCTTCAGAAGTTGTACGACAGCGCGAATTACACAGTGGAGGAAAAGAGTGGATTTGATACAATCAACTCCGTAAAATCACGGCTTGGGAATTACTTTGTCAAAAAGGAAAATACGGCAAGGGTAGGTTGCATTTCTTTTTGGCCATTTAAGCTCTATTACAACATGTGAATGTTAATCTTTTATGCGGGCTCTTTTCAATCTTTTGGTTGTGAATCCTTAGAGCGTGCAAGATTTTCACGTCACGAAGAGTAAACTAACAAAGATAATCGTGACCTTGCCTTTGTTTAATTGTGACTTTTATTTTGACTGTTGATGCGCTCAAAGGGTTTTGTTATTTTTCCTCCGATAGGTTATTATTTTTTGCAATCTATATTATTTGTTGGGTCTTCCCATATTTTCTTAAATTAAATTACTTGCCCTGCAGGAAATTAAAGTTTATTACTTGTTGTGAATTATCCAGACAAGTGACTTGAGAATTGGGTGAGATGTCAAGCAAAGAAAGATAAATTAAAATTTCCTGCCAAGATTACTTTACACCACAATAATTGGAGCTTTTAGTGAGACAAAACAAAATTTGTTAGTCAAAAGTTTAGATAAAAACTAAACAGACCCAATGAAATGTACCCCATAAATAACATTCTACAGTTATTCCTTCCAAGATTCTGAGAGAAATACTGTAATTTAGGCAAAAAAAAGAAAAAGAAAAGAAAGAAAAGGAAAACAAAAACTAGTGGAAATAAACACCTCAAAATACTATAATTTTTTCGACCTTTCAGAAATACGCATCTCATGTCTCAAATATACTGTAAAGTGTATTTAAAAATTTCAGGAAAACTGTAGGTTTGATATACAGTATGGCCAAATTATAGACACTTTTTATCTATAAAATGTAAGATAATTATTCTCTAAAACTACTTGCAGGAAGATAAATTTTCTTGCAATTATACCAGATACATAATTTGACTCCCCTCTGACTCCTCTCCCTTGTAAAAAAATATCTTTTAAATCCAATCTTCAACCTTGTACCCAGAGTGTAAGAGATTAGATAGAGCTAAGATAACTTCATTTATATATGGTTTTTCCATCAGTCAACAAAGTTACTGGACTATCTACCTATCTGCCTAACTACAATAAAAATTAGACAAAAAGAAAAGCTGCTTTTCATGGAGGCAGTGTCTAAAAATTTACTTAAAATTAATATATTACTTTAAACTGTTTGTTCCTCTCAAACATCAGTCTGGAATGAGTGACAATAGGAAATTTGGAATGGAATTCCAAAAATATAGGACTTCTGGTTGAATTGCACAAGGAAGTCATTTAATTGAGTCTCTGCTCATTTTAATTGTCTTTAGAACCAATGAAAATCTAGCCTGTACAAAGTCTCTTGAGAGTCACCCATCTTGTCAAGCTTGCACAATGAGAAATGAAGATTCATGGAATGAGATTGTTTAACCCCATGTGGCACTGCTTGAGTCCATACTAGCCAGGGCAGGGGCGGATCTGGGGGAAGGGTGCAGGGGCTGTGCACCCCTCCTAATATGGCATGCAGCTTTCTAATATAACTGATATTTGTTAACCTCACCAGTCAGTTACGCCATTCCTTAGTGGTGCACCCCCTCCCAAGAAAAATCCTGGATCCACCCCTGCAGGGTCATACGAGTCTTGCTTAAATATAAGACTTACATCAGCTCAGGGCAGGAAAAAACGCAGGTCCGATTCCCCAGGGCAAGTACATTTTGCTCTTGGGCAAGTGAAAATAGAAGTTCAATGGCCTGGTGGGCAAGTGAAATTTGCCTCTGTAGTCTTGTGAGTCTGAGCAAAAATGTCAGCTTGATAAATGATGATTTCCAGTCAGAAGCTATTTCAAAACTTACGACTGCAAGATTATAAGCAACCATGAGGTTGAAAGCATGGATTAGTTAGGAATCAAAGCATACTTTGTTCACGTTTGTCCTCTGATTTCCATACTGGCTGCCATGGCGACAAGTGATATTTTAGTGGGGGCAAGTGAAAACTGAAATTTACTGGCCCACTGGGCAAATGGATTTCAACTTTTTTTTCCTGCCCTGCAGCTGCATCTACGCTTGAACACAACATGACAAAACATGCAATAACACAAGTATGGATGAAATTTCAAACTAGGAGTTCTTTGGTTTGGGATACTGCTGTTTTCGCCCCTGTACACACACACTTGCATTTGTATCAATCATTTTGTCAACTTGAGTAAATGTCATGTGTACCAACTGTGTTGTACTTTGAGTATGAAAGATTTTTATGAAAATACTTAATATCTTTCTCCTTTTTAAAATCATATTAGAAAGTTGCTGAGGCAGTGGCTAAATTTCATGATGAGTTTTACACCAATAAAACTTTACAAGAAATGGCCAAAGTTTCCACACTGCACCAGCTTGGGTTACAACATTATACAGACTCAGATTTATTAGATACTTTACCCAAAGACTTGGAGTTCAACACGTAAGTAAAGTAACTGTTATATCCAGTTGAACCCTGTTTAAAAGGATGGTTCAATGTATCTGTATAGTGTATTGGCGGAGCGGTTGGCTCATAGTAAGAGGAAATGTTTGAGCTACAGTGTATATGTAGGGCATGAATTCACAGTCATTTATAATGAGGCAAAAGTCCATATTAAGCTTGCATGGGTCCATAAAGAGGAAACTTGCTAATGGTACAGTGAAACTGGAATCAAGCAGACCTCATATAATTAATCAGAGACCCTGTATTAAGTTGACACCAGCTTAAGGAAATCCAAAACTTTACTTTCCTTCACTGAGGGATCCCAGCCCTGACCATCCCCCTCAATATTTTTATGGCCCACATCTCCTTTCTTGAGAAGACAGTGTCCACCATAACCCCACCTCCCCTTTTCCAGCAATAAAAGACCCATCTTTACTTTGGATATGAACTTTTGAGTACATGCACTGTGCCTTTGTGGAGGCACAGTTGCTTCATGGGTAGTGCACTGACTGCAAATTGAGTGGTATCGGTTTGAGCCCTGGCTGGAGACATTGTGTTGTGTTCTTGGACAAGACACTTACCGTAAATCTTCGAATTAGTGCCCAGGGCACTTATTTCAAATTTAGGAGAAGACAGGGGACACTTATTCGAGAGGGGCGCTTATTTGAGCAGGGGGAGGGCGCTTGACGTGATCATTTTTTTTAATACACCATCTGTGCGTTAACACCAACATAAGCTGTTTATTGACATAAAAAGCTGATCCTAAAGTTTAAATTGGGGCACCGTTAGTACTTAACGTGTTCAAAGTGTTCACTAAACGTGTTCACAAACTGAAACAATGTAGAAATCTAATACTACATGACAAAAACTATACATCCTTTGTTGTCTCATTACTCATCCTCAAAATGGGGGGAGGGGAGGGGGGCGCTTATATCAAATTTTGGCCGATAGAAGGGGCACTTAATTGGGGGGGCTAATTCGAGGATTTACGGTAACTCTCGCAGTGCCTCTTTCCATCCAGGCCTACGTGTAGGTGTACAAATGGGTAATAGCAAATTTAGTGCTGGGTTTAACCCTTTGATGAACTACATGTGCCATCCCATCCAGGAAGGAGTAGAAACATTTCTAGTCACTTCATGCTACAGGAAGCGGGATAAGCTCTGGCCTTATGGGGCCACTTGGCTTATAAGCAGACTTAACCTTCTTTTTTGCAGTATGTGCCTTTGGCTCTGCCAGTACTGATGGCTTTCAGATTGATATGACTAGCGACTACGTACCTTTAGTTAGTCATTTAAATTCTGTGTCATGTTCTGTCTTTTTTTTAAATGCATGTTCTCCTCTAACACACAGGTTGTTCAAGCAGAAAGTCAGTATAAGTAAGAGTTCTGTGAAGATCTCTGATCAGGTTGACAGGAATAACCCGAAGTTAATTGAAGCTGTCTTTTGGTCATCTCTGCTGGATAATGTGTTCAAGGAGAATTTAGAGAATGATCCAGAGCTTAGGTATGTTATTACTCACTTGATTGATCAGATTTACTACATAACAAGTACATCTAATCTGCAATGTGCAGGTCCAGAAAATATCCATACTCCTCCCACATAAGGGATTGTAATTTCCGGGGGTGGAGGTTCTGTAAGACCAAAACATTTACAGAAATGTATGAAGCTTTATTTGAATTTCCAGAGGGGTGGGATGGGTCTCAGAAAAAGTCCCTTCTGTGGGTAAGGTATGGATATGTTCTGAAAAGTTTACATAATGCACAAGAATCAAGCTTGAAAATGAGAGTTAGCAGTGGCACGTCTAGGAAATGGCTATCCATCCACTGTTTCTGAATCAAATTAGAAGTAAGAGATGTTGGTTTTTGTTGACAACTTTCAGCAAGTTTTGAACATGACTGTAATCCTTACAATACAAATAATTATTACCTAAGCAAAACACGAGTTATATAATTATACATCTTACTTTGATTTGCTTTTTGCTAGGTGGCAGAATTTTGGTTCAATCGAGGGTTTCCTCAGAGTGTACCCAAGCCGTGAATGGTCCTTAAATTTTGCTGGCTTCCACATTGACTATGATCCCAGGCTGAGGCCCTGGTATATTGGTGCCACATCAGGCCCTAAAGACATTGTCATCATTCTGGACTGCAGCTTGTCAATGGAAGGAAAGAAATTCCACATGGCAAAACAAGTGGCCAAGACAGTCTTGAATACACTGACAAAGCAAGACTTTGTCAATGTCATATGTGGCCATGAGAGCCACTGGGATGAAGTTGGGAAGTGAGTGTTTTAACATTACAATGTTAAATATACAAGTCTTTTGTTATTGTTAGTAATGCTTCGATTTAAACCTGACCAATTCAATACTGGTGCTATAAAGTTTGGAATGACATGGAGAGCACTTGTTAGCGACAGGTTGATATTGTCAGTAATTGTAAGTTACTTATCCCAGAACACCTTTGAAGCTGCTCTTAAACATTTGTTTTGCTAATGGACTTGATATAGGAACACGCCACGTCGTTGTGGAGTTTTTCCTGCAAAAAATGTACTCATACAGGAAACATAGCCTCCCAATGCAGACGCTGTTAGGGCTCGTCACGCGTTCCTCCCCACGAACTTCCCGACGTTCGTGGGGAAGGAACGCGTGACGAGCCCTAAGAGCGTCTGCGTAGCGGGCTAGGGGAAACACGAATCCTGAGAAAATTAGTGACGTGTACATTTGAGTTCTGAAATTTTGCGACAAATTCTGCATATTTTCAGTTGAGTTTGCTGGTCAAATACGAGGATTGATGTGCTGAAGGAAATGGTCACGAGACATTTGTCTGTAAGACCCTATTTAACATGGCTTAGGAAAAACTTAGTCACTAAGAGCACACATCAGGATATAGTGGAAAACTCTTCAATGACTGCTTGATCGACAAAGATATGTATGGGTATTGTCTAATTCTTTTGTATGTTAATGAACTTCAGGTGGTTTGAGTATAAAACTGAAGTGCTTAGCTGTCAGCAGAACCGGCTTGTACCAGCATCCACTTCTCACAGGAAGGACTTGATTGAAAAGATTGATAACCTGAAGGCTGGAGGAACAAGTGAACTCAAGTAAGATCCTTGATTGAAATAGTGATTTCCTTTACTGATTGTCATAGATTTCTTGTTACCGGTATGATAGTTCAGAGAATGTTATGATCCATCAAGGCAACGTACCCTAGCTTCTCTTTATCCTCCTTCTTGACTAAGTATAGCTGTGAGAAAATAGGTGCTGGAGTCTTGATCACTCTTGGGTTTTCAGTTTGATCTGACAACTTATAAAGAGCTCTTGGAACGACTTTCAGAGAATAGAATCAGAAGATCTGAGTAAGACTACGACTGCTGACTACAATGACCAAAATTTGAACACAATGTTTCGGGGAAATACTTTGTAACTACAGTTCAACCCCTATTAAACGGCCACTCTCGGGAAATGGATAGTGGCCACTTAAAAGGGGTTGGCCGCTTAATAGAGGTAAAAACAATACAAAAGCGCTTCGATTACTGGCCGCCTAATGGGGGTGGCCGTTTAATAGGTGGCCGCTTAAAAGGGGCTGGACTGTAGTATGAAAATTTATATCTCAGATCTTTCTTTCTTGCCTGGTTTGGCATGGCGCCCTTGAATGTTGCAAATACTTTTGGGCAGGCGTTAAAACTGCTGCACAGGTTGTTGCTGAAGTAAATTTAGCAGTTATTGAAACCTCTTCAACGTTTTGTGACATGTTGCACCGTGTGTCCAGGCAGGCTTTTGGACAACCGCATATGGCGTAATTCTTTTAAAGTTGGTTTCCACTGGCGCATAAGCATACTGGTAGGCATAAGCAACGTACCAAGGTGCAGTAAGGTACAGTTAGGTAGCGTCTTTTGCTAAGAAATGCTTACATGCTTGTGAAAACGAGCCCTAACTATGTCTTACTTTGCCCAAACCTCGAGAAATCGGTGTGGACTGCAGGCTTTCATGGCTAACAAGATGGAACGCACACGAATTTTCACTTGTATTCTTGCTTTGTTATTTCACAGAAAAGCGTTCAAGTTGGCTTTTGAACTCCTTCAAGGAGGTGCCAGAACCGGCTGTCAGAGTATCATCGTGTTTGCTACAGATGGAGTGGACAATGATGGGGACCCTGTGCGCTGTGGCCCAGGATCCTACACCAGAAGTGGTTACGTGCCAGGGAAGACCTGCAAATATGACTGGAATGACGTGTGGGATGAAGTGACGGCCAGAAACAGATACATGAATCCCAGGGTGAGTTATAAAATCGTTGTTTTCAAGTATTTCAAGACCTATAATCAAGCAAATCCATTTGGATCGAAAAATCTGCGCGAAAGTTTGTCCTCGGACATTGCAATGTATCTGTTTGGCAGCCAGAGAACAGTTCACCAATACTCTCCTCCGCAGACACTGTTTTGACTTGTTACGCGTAGGAATGTGTGGCGAAGCGTAGAACGCTGGTTATGATACGAGAGCAAAGAGCTGGGCAGATCAACTAAATTCATATACAGGGAGCCGAAGAAATTGAGGTAGAGTGCAAGCAACCCTCCCAAACAAACCCACCCACAAACCGAATGAAAATTTCTTTCCTGGAGACGCTGCTTATAGAATTCTGGGAGCATTTCGAAAATACAAGAAAAAGGTGGTTCCGACCCCCTTCCCTCTTCCCCCCACTAAAACCGCCCCTGGAGAGGGATTTTCAGGGAGTGAAGGGACACGATAACTTCTGTGTCTGTCTGGTGGTAGAGTATGTGGTGACGACAGGCCGGTGAACCTTTCGGCAATTGCCAATTTATTTTGTTTACCAAGTCCGGTTGTGCAAAGCTGGTATAGCTGATCCAAGAGTAGCGTAGAATTCGAAATCAGTATTGATAGAGCGGTTTTCACTTTTGTGTTGAAAAGTAATTGGTTTTGCATTGCTACGTTCCGCGATTGGTTTAAAAAACTCGCGCCACTCTGTAAGACTATCCAATCAGAAGGGAAGCCGAGGCCAATCGTGACTCGCTCGCACTCGTTTTCCCGCGCTTCGCGTCGGCTACATGTAATTACTTGGAGTTTTGATTGGTTCACTGGATTGTCTGTGCCCTTTGTGATTGGCCAGAGTGATTACAGCTCTGAGATGCCGTGAAAAACGTCAGCAATTCTAAATCTAAATTTATTACAAACAAGCTGCTTTCACTTTTCCCCTTGACGGAACTCAACTGTGTTTTTTTTTTAATTGAACATGGTCGCTGATTTTCGTTTTCAGGCTCGAATCTTCTCGTACCTTACCGCGGATGATGGTGAAGAATTACCAGGAAAGCTGTCTTGCGACAACCAGGGCTATATGAAGAAATTAACTGATGAAGAAAACATCATCTCTCAGATGCAGGATTACTACAGTTTCTTAGCGTCCAATACAATCAGTATCAGCAATCTCACGTGGACTTCTCCCTACCTGGACGCGTCGGGCCTGGGACTCATGGTCACTGTAGCCATGCCTGTTATCAGCAAAGTCACGAACAAGTAAGTCACGTTGGTTGTGATCGCGTGATTCTCGCGGGGTTGAAATGTTTGGAACGAGTACTGCCACAAGAGCAAACTTATTTGTTTTGACGAATGGCTAACGTTCCAAGTGTCAGCCTCGTAAACTTGCTACTAACGGTGGTTAATTAACCTTTATCAACTGCAAGTTGATTAATAGTTAAGTATTTCACCTGCCCACCAAAGCAACCCAACAGTTTCTGCAGTGACTACCGGTGTAATACCTTTGTTCAAGCTAGGCTAAGATTGGCTTGTCGCGGTCACGCTTGGTAACAGTTCACTTGGCCATCCTTAGTTCGCGCTGTGTCACAGTTGTCCAGGTCACACCTGGTCAGGTCACGCTAGACAAGGCACTTTGTTTGACACTTTTTCGTTTCTGTTTGTCTTTCTGTTCTGTAAATACAGTCGCCACCAACGCTCACCAGCACTTTGGCTTTTGAGCGACGAGAAGTGTTTGTATTTGTAAGCTGTATTGCATTTCTTGCGTTTGAAACCATCGTTTTGAATTTTTTTTTTTTCGATTCCAAGACAAGTTTCCTTTGACTATCGGTCAGAATTGTTAAAAATATAATAGCGTGACAGTGTGTGACATATCGTGACCCTTGACAGAACCTGCTAAAATGGTGATACTATCAACATAACGCCTGCAAAATTCTGTAGCTCATAGTAAGCTGGGTGGGCACTTGTGATCTAGTCCAAACAAGCCTATTAAAAAACATCAATCTTTTATTCTTTAGGACAATAGGCGTGGTTGGTATTGACGCCACCTTGGAGGAAATTGAGAACATCTTGTTAAACGACCAGTGGGGTTCTGTGTACGCTTTCCTGGTGAATGAAGGAGGAGAGACAATCTTTCACCCGCTGCTGCGACCTAGTACCGAGGTGAGAAAATCACCACTTGACCCTTCAAGTCTTATGTTCAAGATCTAAATTGTCCCTAATGTTTTGTACGAATTCTCTGTAATTCTTGTTGGAAGTTTTGACATTGAGTCAGGCCGTCCCTATTCGGACATGGTGAGCTTCTTTATTTTCACAATCCCCTTTCTGGAATACCTAGTAAACAAGTCCTCGAGAAGCAGCAAGCTTATTCGTTTACAGTTAAGAAATGGCATAACTAACCATAGTTAACTCAGCTTGTATGACAAAAAATGTATTTTTATGGTAATCTCTTATCCTTACATATTCGATGAATATTCAGATCTCTTTTTGCAGTGGGATCGAAAGTTCCCTAATTTTATCAACTGTAAAAAGGTTAAGTCTGCACACAAGCCAAGTGGCCCATCAGGGCAGCGCTTATCTCCGATTCTGTAGCATGAAGCGACTACAACAACAACAACAACAACAACAACAACAACAACACACTTTATTACCAAAATAGAAAAATCCTTAGTTACAGGAATGGTAACTGAAACAGAAAGTTAGGTAAATCAGCCAGAATAACTTAAACGCTAATCCAGCTGAGTGAAATTAAATAGTATCTAGGAGTATTTTTTTAAAGACTTAGATGGATGGGACGCTAGGCATTGCAGGGCTACCCCCAGGATTAAATTAGCCGGTACCCATTTATACACCTGAGTGGAGAGAGACACTGTGAGAGTAAAGTGTCTTGCCCAAGAACACAACACAATGTCCCCAGCGGGGGCTTGATCTCGGACCACTCGATCCGGAGGCGAGCACACTAACCATGAGACCATCACGCTACCGTAGCAGAACCAAAACAGTTCTTGTGTACAATGCATGTGCAGTCAATTTATTGTCTCATTAAAACTTGACTGAAGTTGTAAGATATTGCTTTTTTTCTCGTATACGTTTTTATGAGAACTTCTGGTTGATCACATCTCCTTTTTGCAGTCAGATGTTAAGTTCTGTACTATTACTACAATATAACTACGTGTATAACAGTACCGCAGCTGCAATAATTCTAGTGTACAAGACACACAGTCAATTTGTTTTCTGATTTAAACTCATTTAGCTTTCATTCGGGAGAGAAAATGCCGTTTCTCATTAATCCATCCTCGTTTAAGTTTCCGAAGAGCTACCGAGTCTTCTCATCCAACAGCGTGATCATTCCGAACATTGTGACGTCGAATTGTCGTCGTGAGGACATCCCTGCCTTGAACCACGGGCTCATTAGATTTAATCAAAGATGTGTGGTCACATGACATCTGAAACGAGAACAGCCTGGACGTGACGTCATGTAAAAAACGACAGGGCCTGGAACCAGGAACAAACTCGCTAGGACCGTCGCCTCGAGGTTACTGCTAGTAGCGATGCACTATATTTCCGGTGCTAAACTGTTTGAAGAACTGCAGCTATGTCTTTGCGTCTGTTTCTCTGGTCTGTGCTTCGCGGATAAGGTGAAGTACTCTTCAGTATTTCTCGTAAGTCGTTTAGTTGTCGTTCATTGACCGAGAAACAGAACGCCTGCATACTAGCCGAGGATATGCTGGGATGATGACTGGGATGATGAAATCAGTGGAGAGAAGATGAAAAAAAAAAAAAAAAAAANAAAATTGCACATACGATACAAAAAGATATATGGGTTATTGACCAAGCGTGAGGTCAAGATGGCTGGATATCGGCCAAGTTCTTTTCTGCGTGCTTTTAAATGTCCATAAGCCCGCAAAAAAGGAACGAGGCCAATATCCAGCCATCTTGACCGAACAAGTTTGGTTGAAACAGATTTTTTTCATCAGGTGTATCCGGTGAACATAAAAGGTTTTAATTCCTATGCCAAAAAGAGGACTATTTAAAGGAGCTACGTCACAGTTTGCGCATCTTGAAAAGTTCAGCCTAAATTTTTCAATTTTGTCGTTTTTAATCGGAGTCAATCTTGTCCATCCTTAACCATTCTTGTTCCTTTATGTTATATTATTAAAGTATATTATTATTAGTTAACTGCTCTTTTCATCTTTCCTTCAATTTAAAGGTAATTCTGTACGCGGCCAAAAATACCGTGACTGAACTGCGTTAACTGTGTCTTACCTTTGAACTTTTAAAGGAAGCACGCGATCGTCCAGTCTCCCCTTACATCGGCACGTAAAAATCATCTTTAGCACTTGACGATATTGTTTCCGCGTTAAAACGTACATAAAGGGATCAGCGATGAAATTCAGCATCAGAAAGGAACACACGAGGAGATCCGCAGAGCTGTTGCGCCAGTCGTAGAACGCGTTGCCAATGAGACGGACCTGAAAAGCAAAGACCGCATTCAACCAATCAAAACTCGCGTTAGAAATCCTGCGACGGTGGTAAGCGCGGGAAATTTCACGATTGGTTTTGGTTTTGCACCTGATTGGCTAAAAAAACCCGGAAGTTTGCTGTCACTGGTTGGACCATCTTGCACGAGGATTTTGAACCAATAGTAGAGCTCGGGAAACGAAAAATCGAAGGGATTTGACAGTCAGTTTAAAACTGAACTGCAGTGCGGCAACAACTGAAAATTGAAACAATGTTGCGTTTAACGCTTTTAGTCCCATTCTTGATACATCAATTCTCGTAACTGCTTTGATACATTTCTTTTAATGTCACTTTTAAGAAATTGGCTTCATATCTAGACAGTATCATCTAATTGACGATTTTCTTT